TTACTCTAATATGGCTTAAGATCGAACAAACAAAATTTTCTTGTAGTGCCCTTGCAACCTTTGTTAGCCTGGGATTGTCCAACAAAACAAAATCTGAGCCTGAACATACAAAGAAATTCTTCTCTTAAAATATAATGCAAAATAATCCAAGAGAAGCCCTAAACTAATTTGGCAGAATTCGATTCTCTTGGAATTGTATTCCCATTTTTCATTTAGGTAATACAATCAGAGCACACCTTGTGAGTCTATACAGTAACTTATTACTAATAGAATATGGAAATGCCAGGAAGACTCACTGGCACCAGCCTTCCATAATGCCCAAATTTCCATAAATGGAAAGTCTTTCCTGTGGGTTAAGAATACTCTTTTAAAAGGACTGTTTTACAATATAACGTTCTGGATGCTGGAGGAAGAAATACTGACAGAAGACACATTTTTAAAAGTATATGTGAAAGTCAGGCTCATCAAATCCTCTCCCCTTTCCAACTGGAGAATATGTGGGTGGGCAGGGTGCTGGGAAGAAGAGGGAATGTCACATCCCAGTGGAGAAACTGAGCCCTGCTATGGCTACATCAGAGTCTGATGACAAGAATAGCGCCAACAGCAGCATCAGAGATCCATTAAGTCAGCGTGACTAGGGAGAGGGTGGCTCCACTCCAGGTAGATGGCTGATCTGGAGCAATGTGGGCCCAAAGAACCAGTGATTGTGACTGATTATGCCTAAGAGATCACATAAACTCAAAGGTGGGTGATCATATTGCAGATCAGTCGGCCAAACATGATTGACAAGCCAGAGAACCAAAATTTTCAAAAAGATTCCAAAGGCAAGTACAAAGACGAAGGGGAAGTAAGGTACATACTAACTTTCCACAAATAAGAGAATTCAGCAGGATGTGGTAGAGCCAAAGTTGTCCTTTACTCCAATCCTCTCCTAGATTCAGTTTTAAGATGACAGTTGAAGACGCTGAAACCACAGAGTCAAATAAGAAAGAGTGGACCTGTCTCTGCCTGCCTGGTGTGGGATTTTGCAGATGTATAAAAAGGAATACACAGTAATGTGGGAAACAGAAGGCGCCTGCTCAGAATTCCCTTCAAGCCAAGACTTTCTGCCTCACTGGCTTGGATGTGGTCAACAGACAATCTTTAATGCTCAGATCCCTCAGGATCCACCAAAGCTGCAGAGAAGCTGCCTCACTCAAAGTCATACCCTTCCCAGGACACCCACATCAGGACGCTGAGCAAGGTGGGAATAAAATGCCCCAGAACTTTCATCCTCACAGAAGACATCTCTGAAGACCAATGTCTGCTTGAGACTTGCCCTCACTACCATCCCCAGGCTTCTGGAGGCTTTGTGGAGCCTCCATCATGGTTGTTTTGCAAACTACTTGACTCTGCTCCTACCTTTTTGTTCTTTACTGTGAATTCCTAACAGTTTTTTTTTTAACCATAAATTCAATCTCAGCATTTGCATCCAGAAAACCCAACCTACGACAGTCCATGCGAAAAATAACCTGAGAAAGTACCATGGAGTTTGGGAGGGGAATCCTTGCTGCCAAGCTGACAACAAGGTAAAAGGAGCCAGAGAGCCTCCAGTACGAGGCAGAAATCCAACTCCTAACACTCTCACTGGTGGTGGATTTGGAAGTGAATCCATTAGGAGGTGTGATGTGTCAAGCATTTGAAACCCATGGAGGAAGTAGCATTAGATGGCTATTGCTCAGAGCCAGTGATGTGCTATGGAATGACAAGCTGAGAAAGTAAAAACCAACTGAAACTCAGGTGTGAATGTCAGTGGGTCATTTTGGTTGTAAATTCAGGACCTGGGACTAAGGTAAGACCGTGTGAGACATTCAGTGCAAAATCAAAGGGGATGTCAGAAGCCTCAGTGATCAAGAGCTACTTTCTCTCAGGCTTGCAACACCTTCCTTAAGCCGATCCCTCAGTGGAGTTGAAGTTGGCAGGAAAACAAAAGCAAGCAGACATAACTGCTTATGGAGATCTTACTGTCTTTTTTTATTGTCTATAATGTTATAAAATACTTTAACTGCAACAGTGTGCTTTATGTGTGGATGTGTTAGTGTGGATGTCTTAGTTTTGTCTATACCAGTGGTTCTCAACAGGGAGTTTTGGTGCCATGGGACATTTGGCAATGTCTGGATACATTGTTGGTCATAATTGTGTGTGTGTTGGGGGGGGTGCTACTGGCATCTAATGAGTAGAGGCCACAGACACTTCTAAACAACCTACAGTGCACAGGACAACTTCCCACTAACATACACACATAACAAGGAATTATCCAGTTCAGAAGGTTGAGAAATCTTTGTGTCCACCCTAAGGCAGAGCGCCAATTGAAGCACATTAATTATTATGTGGGTCAGGAGTTCAGGGTCCAGAAGTGTCCTCGACAAACTTCAACCATCACTAAGTAGCACTACTGGGTTCCATAATAACACTTGAAATTAATGTTGTAAGAAAAGTCGATTGGTTACAAACTGTGAGTAGGTGCTTCTGTCTTTTCATATGTATGAGTATTAAAATCTGATGATCCCAGCAGCCTCTTCACATCAGGGAGTGCTCTCAGCCCAGAGCTTCAATTTAGCACACGTCAGTGGGGATTCTATCACACAATCCAACTACGAGTTTAACTTGCTTCATGCTCTTTAACCAGCCCTGGTAATGCCAAGTTCTTGATCCCACAGCCCATGAGTGAATCCACTAAAAGAAGAGGTCCTTCTCCCCTTCTGAAAAACACCTCCAATTAGTGGTCACCTTTAGTTTTCAAAAAGTAGAAAGCCTGGGGCAGAGGCAGGTGAAGTCTAGAAGCTTCCTTCTCCACAATATCACTAGTAGGTGTGCCTTACAATGAAGTGAGGTCTAGTGATGGTACTGCACATTACTGCTGCAACCTGGGCATATTTGGATCTTCATAAGCATTAGGTTATTTTTGGCAGATATCAGTACCCATCTCTGGATAGACTTTCTTAGTGAACACTAAAATCAAGAAACAATCAAGAAAGTAAAGAGAAAACACACAGAATGAGAGGAAAACATTTGCAACCTACCCATCTGATAAGTGATTAATAACCAGAATATATAAGGAGCTTAAACAACTCAAATGAAGAAATCTAATTATTTGATTAAAATGCACAAAATACTCAAGTAGACATTTCTCAAAAGAAGATATACAAATGGCAAAGGTACATTAAAAGGTGCTCAACATCACTGATCATCAGAGAAATGCAAATCAAAACTACAATGAAAGTTCACATCGCCCCCGTTAAAAAGAATTCTTATACAAAAGACAGGCAATAAAAATGCTGACTAGGATGTGTATAAAAGGGAACCCTCAAAAACTGTTGGTGGGAATGTAAATTAGTACAACTACTAAGAAGAACAGTTTGGATGTTCCTTAAAAAACTAAAAATAAAGCTACCATATGATCCAGCAATTCTACTGTTGGGCATATACCCAAAAGAAAGAAAATCAGTACATTGATGAGATATCTGCATCCCCATGTTTGTTGCAGCACTTTTCACAATAGCCGAGATTTGGAAGCAACCCAAGTGTCCATCAACAGATGAACAGATTAAGAAAATGTGGTATATATATACACAATGGAGTACTATTCAGCCATAAAAAATAAAAATGAGATCTTGCTATTTGCAACAGCATGGATGGACCTGGAGGTCATTATGTTACGTGAAATAAGCCAGGCACAGAAAGACAAACTTCACATGTTCACACTTTTTTGTGAGATCTAAAAATCAGAACAACTGAATTTATGCAGACAGAGAGTAGAAGGATGGTTACCAGAGGCTAGAAAGGGTAGTTGGAAGGTGGAAGGAGATGACTAATAGGACCAAAAAAAAAAAAAAAATGGAGTAAGACCTAGTACTTGATAGCACAATAAGATATCTACAGTTAATAATAATTTAATTTTATATTTTAAAATAACTAGAAGAGTATAATTGGATTGTTTGTAACACAAAGGATAAATGCTTTAGGATATGGATACCACTTTTTGCATGATGTGATTATTATGCTTTGCATGCCTGTATCTCATGAGATACAGGTACATGAGATAATAAAATTATAAACATGTTCACTAATGTACCCACAAAAATTGAAATTAAAAATTACATATTTACTATGCACCTAATAAAAGAAAAAGAATTAACATTTAGCAAATGTGTTCTATATTAAGATAAACCTATCAGTTGAATTTTCTTCTTAATGCATTCCCTTAAGACACTCATACAGATTCTTTGAGGACATATTGACTAAAGTATTTCATTGCCCCTTTCCAACTTTTGCAATTGGAAACTATTCAATATATGTAGAAAGATACAAATGCTAACATACTGTCCTCTGATATTGTTGTGGCATCCACAAAACAATTTTTCCTGAAAATGCCTGCATAAGAGAGAATGAGTCACATCACACAAATGGACTTCCTGATGTACTAGAAATACATCTCTGACAAATTTTTTAAGCTCCAGAGACTGTCAGAGAAAAATATTTTGGGTTATTAGTTGCTCATATTCTGACAGTAAAAAATGTTCTCTTGAGACAAGAAAGTCAATGTGAACCTGACATCACAGAGTTGAATTTTTCCCTCAACAGACCAGTCCTCTATGAGAAGTTAGTGCTTACAATTCAGAGAAGGAATCATGAAGCGTTCTAATTACAGATACCACTGTATTTTATCTACAATAATACAACTGATATTTTAATTTTTTTGGTACTTTTAAAATTTTATAAATAATCATGTAATGTAACTTTATCATATAGCTTTAAAAGAGTGCTATGATTTCTAATTTTGCCCTTTTACAAGGAGTTAACTTTTTAAAATTATAATCCAATTACATACATGTGGGATGCTATGTAAGTTTAAAACTCACATATGTAAGGAAAAAAATCACCAACCTTAGGTAAATGTAATACTTAAGTTTAGCTGATCCCCTGTGGTATTATAGGATTAAATATTCCGTATGCCTTACCTTAGTGCCTCACTTCCACCACTATCAAGTGAAACATATTCAATCTGCGGATCTGAAAAATAAAAGTTTCTGTCTGATAGAGTTCAGTAGGAAAGGGCACCTTACCTTAGTTACAAGGGTGAGCTGACAGCTTTCAGAGAAAGAATGGCAAATGCTTTGGAGGTCCGAGGTCCAAGGTCCTGGCACATGTGGAGGGAGAAAGGGTCGGAATTATAGGCCCAGAAGGGCCATAATGACTGTCTCAGGGAAGAGTTACTAGCACATGAAGAACAACCTGATTTCTAAGAATATCGTAATACATGTTCTGGGAAGCAGGGTAAGTTGACATTTATTTCTCCTGGTAACAGAAATCTTCATCTTCTCCTGTTTCCCAACATAAGTGCATGGAATTGCATCTACAAAAACTGTTCCCCTCTCACCCAAAGGGGCAAGTGGGGTGCAAGGGCCATGCATCCCAGGCTTTGCTCATGAAGCTCTGAAACCTGGTGCAAATTTACAGAGATACCACTGCTCTTACGTGTGATATCTCAGTGTAAATTTGCACCAGGTACAGAACTTCATGAGCAGAGCCTGTTTCATCCTCTCCTCCTTCAGATACATTCCTTTTTCTTTCTTCTGTCTTCACTTCTTCCCTCACTTCACTGTCTCCTTCAACCTTTTTTCTTCCCTCTCCTCCATCTGAATGCTAAAACAAATACTTTGTGAACATGTCAAGAAGATGAATTTGACTTTGTTAATAAATAAAACCAAAAGAATAATGAAAATGAAGCTTTTGAGGAAGGGAACAAGGAAGAGAAAGATGATAGGGTATATCGAAATCCAGATCTGGAGATCTGGAATAGGATGGAGTATTTTGAATAAACTAACATCTTGAGGAAAACAGTGACTGAAAAAGAAGTTTTCTGGCAAATATCTAAAGCAAACTCAACCAAATTGAGTCTAAAGAGACTCATTTTGACTTTCTATAAATGAATGAATGATAAGAAAATATTTGTGAGAGAGGAAAGAATAATTGAATACACTGGACTAAATAGTCTTGAACCAGCCAAGACTATACGACTTGAGCCAGACAATGATATACTAAGCAAAATCAAGTGAGAATCAATGAGATGTGCTTATAACAAAAATCTAATAAAATTAATTTTGTAACTTTTAAAATATTCTGTTACTAAAATTTAGTTAATGTAGAACAACTCTCTACATGAACACTTGAAAATATATGGAATCCCCCCAAAAAAGCAGAATATTGCAGAATACTAAGGAGACATGCCTCTAATACATAGGAATAGAACATTTCAACTGAATGTAGTATGTGTAGGATCTAGAAGGAATGATTAATTTCTTTCTGATTACAAAAACCCCAAACAACATTCACAGGTTAATAGGGTAAAGAAGAAATTCAGATAGGACTTTTAATCATAATGTCTTTCTACAATAAAAATTCACATTGTAGAAGTGAAGTGAACATATTAGGATGTGTAGGTAAAGATCTATCCCTATAAAATTTTAAATGTATGGAATTCTAATATTCAGTTTTGGCATTCTATCGCTAACATTTTGTACATATTCTTTAATTTTATTCTTTTCCCTTATAATTGAGCATTCAATTAGCTGAGTATTCAACTGGAGCTAAAAATTCATCAGTTTTGCATAGCCAATTATTTCAATCTTTGTCACAGTTTTTGAGGTTTATGAAACCGACACTTACTACTTTTTCTATTTATACATTATTTTCTAAATGAATAAGGACAAATGCAAAAAAATATTCAGACAATGAAGTACGAAACTGGCAACAATGACAAACAGAACTGCTGGCTGTCAGGCAGTGCCAAAACAGATCAAAATTCTTGTTTTTCAGATAATACGTGAGGTTTAAGTTTAGAGTGCCACTGGAAAGAGCTTATGCATATCAATGCATAATAATGTAAAATAAGAAAATATTTTATGAAAAATAAAACTGTAAAATTTAGGGTCCACCAAAAACAGTTTCTCAGACCACAGTACAGTGGAATTAGAACTCAGGATTAAGAACCTCACTCAGAACTGCACAACTTCATGGAAACTGAACAACTGGCTCTTGAATGTTGACTGGATAAACAATGAAATGAAGGCAGAAATAAAAACATTCTTCGAAACCAATAAGAAGGATGACACAATGTACCAGACTCTCTGGGACACATTTAAAGCAGTGTCTAGAGGGAAATTTATAGCAATAAATATCCATAAGAGAAGCAAGGAAAGATCTAAAATAGATACCTGATCATCAAAATTGAAAGAGTTAGAGGAGCAAGATAAAAAAAAAAACAACTCAAAAGCAAGCAGAAGACAAGAAATAACTAAGATCAGAGCAGAGCTGAAGGAGATAGAGACATTAAAAACCCTTAAAAAAATTAACAAATCGAGGAGCTCATTTTTTGAAAAAACCAGCAAAATAGACCACTAGCCAGATTAATAAAAAAGAAAATAGAGAAGAATCAAACAGATGCAATAAAAAATGATAAAGGGGTATCACCACCAATTCCACAGAAATACAAACTACCATCAGAGATTACTACAAACAATTCTATGCACATAAACCAGTAAACCTGGAAATAATGGATAAATTCCTGGACACTTGCACCCTCTCAAGCCTAAACCAGGAAGTAGTTTAAACCCTGAATAGACCAATAACAAGGGCTGAAGTTGAGGCAGCAATTAATAGCCTAACAATCAAAAAAAGCCCAGGTCCAGACGTGTTCACAGCTAAACTCTACCAGACATACAAAAAGGAGCTGGTACTACTCCTTCTGAAAATCTTCCAAATAATACAAAAAGAGGGAATCCTTCCCAAATCATTTTATGAGACCAACATCATCCTGATACCAAAACCCGGCAGAGACTCAACAAAAAAAGAAAACTTCAGGCCAATATCCATGAAGAACACAGATGCAAAAATCTTCAATAAAATACTGGCACACTGATTGCAATAGCAATCAAAAAGCTTATCCATCATGATCAAATAGGCTTCATCCTGGAGATGCAAGGCTGGTTCAACATAGGCAAGTCCATAAACTTAATCAATCACATAAACAGAACCAAAGGCAAAAATGACATGATTATCTCAATAGATGCAGACAAGGCATTCGACAAAATTCAACAGCCCTTTATGCTAAAAACTCTCAATAAACTAGGTATCAATGGAACGTATCTCAAAATGATAAAAGCTATTTACAACAAACCGACAGCCAATAGAATACTGAATGGGCAAGAACAGGAAGCATTCCCTTTGAAATCTGGCACTAGACAAGGATGCCCTCTGTCACCACTCCTATTCAATATAGTATTGGAAGTTCTAGCAAGAGCAATCAGGAAAGAAAAAGAAATAAAGCATATTCAATTAGAAAGGAGGAAGTCAAATTGTCTCTATTTGCAGATGACATGATTGTATATTTAGAAGACCTCATCATCTCAGCCCAACATTTCCTGAAACTGATAAGCAACTTCAGCAAAGTCTCAGGATACAAAATTAATGTGCAAAAATCACAAGCATTCCTATACACGAGTAACAGACTTAAAGAGAGCCAAATCAAGAATGAGCTACCGTTCACAATTGCTACAAAGAGAATAAAATACCTAGGAATACAACTAACAAAGGATGTAAAAGACCCCTTCAAGGAGAACTACAAACTACTGTTCAAGGAAATCAGAGAGGACATAAATAGATGGAAAAACATTCCATGCTCATGGTTAGGAAGAATCACTATTGTGAAAACGGCCATACTGCCCAAATTAATTAATAGATTCAATGCTATTCCCATCAAGCTACCTATGACCTTCTTCATAGAACTGGAAAAAAACACCTTAAACTTCATATGGAACCAAAACAGAGCCTGCATAGCCAAGACAATCCTAAGCAAGGAGAACAAAGCTGGAGGCATCATGCTACTGGACTTCAAACTATACTACAAGGCTACAGTAATCAAAACAGCATGGTACTGGTACCAAAACAGAGATATAGACCAATGGAACACAACAGAGGCCTCGGAGGCAATGCCACACATCTACAACCATCTGATCTTTGACAACCCTCACAAAAACAAGCAACAGGGAAAGGATTCCCTGTTTAATAAATGGTGTTGAGAAAACTGGCTAGCCATGTGCAGAAAGCAGAAACTGGACCCCTTCCTGACACCTTACACTAAAATTAATTCCATATGGATTAAATGTAAGACCTAACACCATAAAAACCCTAGAAGAAAACTTAGGCAAAACTATTCAGGACATAGGCATAGGCAAGGACTTCATGACTAAAACACCAAAAGCATTGGCAACAATAGCCAAAATAGACAAATGGGATTTAATTAAACTCCAGAGCTTCTGTACAGCAATAGAAACAATCAGTAGAGTGAACCAGCAATCAACAGAATGGGAAAAAATTTTTGCAATCTACCTATCTGACAAAGGGCTAATATCCAGAATCTACAAAGAACTAAAACATATTTACAAGAAAAAAACAAACAAGCCCATTCAAAATTGGGCAACAGATATGAACAGACATTTTTCAAAAGAAGATATATATGAGGCCAACAAACATATGAAAAAATGCTCATCATCATCACTGGTCATTACAGAAATGCAAATCAAAACCACATTGAGATACCATCTCATGCCAGTTAGAATGGCGATCATTAAAAAGTTTGGAGACAACAGATGATGAAGAGGATGTGGAGAAATAGGAACTGTTGGTGTAAAACCCACTGTTGGTGGGTGTGTAAATTAGTTCAACCATTGTGGAAGACAGTGTGGCAATTCCTCAGGGATCTAGAAATAGAAATTCCATTTGACCCAGCAATCCCATTACTGGGTATATATCCAAAGGATTATAAATCTTTCTATTATAAGGACACATGCATACAAATGTTCATTGCAGCACTGTTTACAATATTAAAGACTTGGAACCAACCCAAATGCCCATCGATGATGGACTGGACTAGGAAAATGTGGCATATATACACAATGGAATACTATGCAGCCATAAAAATGAAGAGTTCGTGTCCTTTGTAGGGACATGGA